CCACACTGAAGGTGGTTAATGTGATAATAACATAACCATGGACCTTACCACACTGAAGAAGGTTAATGTGATAATAACATAACCATGGACCTTACCACACTGAAGATGGTTAATGTGATAATAACATAACCATGGACCTTACCACACTGAAGAAGGTTAATGTGATAATAACATAACCATGGACCTGACCACACTGAAGAAGGTTAATGTGATAATAACATAACCATGGACCTTACCACACTGAAGATGGTTAATGTGATAATAACATAACCATGGACCTTACCACACTGAAGAAGGTTAATGTGATAATAACATAACCATGGACCTTACCACACTGAAGATGGTTAATGTGATAATAACATAACCATGGACCTTACCACACTGAAGATGGTTAATGTGATAATAACATAACCATGGACCTTACCACACTGAAGATGGTTAATGTGATAATAACATAACCATGGACCTTACCACACTGAAGATGGTTAATGTGATAATAACATAACCATGGACCTGACCACACTGAAGATGGTTAATGTGATAATAACATAACCATGGACCTTACCACACTGAAGATGGTTAATGTGATAATAACATAACCATGGACCTTACCACACTGAAGATGGTTAATGTGATAATAACATAACCATGGACCTTACCACACTGAAGATGGTTAATGTGATAATAACATAACCATGGACCTTACCACACTGAAGAAGGTTAAGCTGAGGTGCTGTGTAAAGTGCTTTTTTCTATCTACTTTACCTTTGTGAGCAAGTTTTCTCTGTAATGAGCCTTAAAACAAAGCTAACATACAAATATTAATATACATATTGTGAAATACCATTTTCAATGTAATATTGTAAATACATTACATTATTTGCACTATGGAAAACTCACTGTTACATTTAAGTTTGTAACAGAAAACTGAGTATTAAAGGATAGTGTTTTAAAGGAAGTTTTAAATAAATGTGTTTATGTGCACAAAAAGTTGGACTTTGTACCGTTTTTGGATATTTTTGTAGAGCATCTCCTGGTCCGGCCCACTTGAGATCAGATTAGGTTGTATGTGGCCCCTGGACCAAAATGAGTTTGACACCCCTGGTCCAGATGGTCTGCACCCGAACAGATACGGCACCAGTTTGTTGACGGACTTCCTACGCCATGTTGTTCAGTGCTCCCCGAGGGGGGCGTGACTGTTTACATCTGAGGCTTCTCGGCCCCCACCACCCCCCTCCTCCTCCTCCTCACCACCCCCCCCCCTCCTCCTCCTTACCAGCACCGGGTGAGTACTGTGGTGCAAACACTGACCCCTGTCCGTCTGGCAGTGTAACGACAGTCCTGCCACTGAACTGTGCTGACTCAGTTATGCATCTGGAACTTAACAAAGTACAACAGAGTTCACTTTTTAAACCAATAGAGACTGTGTGTGTTCCTCGCACCAGCTCAGAAATGTGTTTTAACTTGAATAAACACAAATTTAAAAGAAGGACAGCAGTTAGACGGTCCAACTCTGGAAATCTAATTCCAGTTCTTTGTAATCAATCAACTAAACCCACTGACACTGATATTAATTTTAACCTTGCTCTACGTAATGTCAGATCACTATGCAACAAATCATTTTTAATTAATAATTTTATCTGTTCGTATGATCTTGATTTTATGTTTATGACTGAAACATGGCTTGACCATAATACAGGAGATGCAGTTTTAATAGAAGCCTCACCACCAAATTTCAAATTTGAATATGAAACACGAGAAAATAAAAGGGGGGGGGCATAGCAGCAGTTTTTAAAGATCGTATTGTCTCCCATAGAGTGTCTCTTGGGAAATTTTCATCATTTGAGTATGTTTCTTTTAAAATAGAACAAAAGAAATCTTCTTCCATTCTTATTATTGTTGTGTACAAGCCGCCACAGTCATGCCATAGTTTCACTGATCATTTCACTGAGTTGCTTTCAGTTGTGTGCACAGATTTTGATGGTTTAGTCATTATAGGTGATTTCAATATACATGTAGATAATGCTAATGATAGATATGCAATAGAGCTGAGCTCTGTGCTGGAAACCTTTGGTCTCACTCAGCATGTGAGTGGCCCCACCCACAGCAGAGGACACACTCTCGATCTGTTAATTACCAAGGGGGTTAATATTTCAAATGTAAATGTGGTCAATGTTGCTCTGTCTGATCATTTCTGTGTATTTTTTGACATGTGTCTCGATTGTAAACCACCAGCTGAATCTTCGGTTGTTAGAAGAAGACACATAAATGATAATACAGGCGAACTGTTCATGGGGAGGGTAAACTTTGAGAACACGTTGTGTGTTACTGTAGATGAATTACTTGACTCTGTCACCACCACTGTTTTGAATGTTCTGGATACAATTGCTCCTGTAAAGGTTAAAATAGTTACAAACAAGCAAAAAGCGCCATGGACTAAAGCAGACTCGGTCAGGGCACAGAAGAGAGAGTGCCGGAAGGCCGAGCGGAAGTGGCGAAAGTCAAATCTCAAAGTTGACCATGAGATCTTCAAAGATGCGTTGTGCAATTTTAACAGGGAACTACGTAGAACAAGGGAAATGTACTTTTCTGAAACTATTGAAGGCTGTAGCAACAATCTACGTGTTCTGTTTTCAACAGTAAATAGATTGACGAATCCCCCTGTTAAGATGCCATCAGAACTTACTTCCAAATCTAAATGTAATGAGTTTGCTCAGTTCTTTAATGACAAAGTCCAAGGTATCAAAAACGCCATCACCTCCACGATAGAAATAATAATCCAACCGCCAGTGAGGCTTTTTGGGCTGACGCACTTTACACCAGTACAAATTGAAACTGTCCAGGAGATAATCACTAGTCTGAGTTCCTCCACATGCAGCCTGGATGTATTACCTCCTAGATTTCTCAAGTCAGTTCTGAGCAGTCTTTTACCTTCACTTACACAAATAGTTAATATGTCTCTTGAATCTGGAACATTCCCAATGGCCTTGAAAACGGCGGTCATCAGGCCCCTCCTAAAAAAGAGGAGTCTGGAAGCCCTGGCACTCAAAAATTATCGGCCCATTTAAAATCTGCCTTTCATGGGAAAAATTCTAGAAAAAGTTGCCTATCAACAACTTACAGAATTTTTAATAATCAATAACGCTTATGATATGTTCCAGTCAGGGTTTAGACCCCCACCACAGCACTGAGACCGCGCTAATAAAGGTAACAAATGACATCAAACTAAACACTGACGCAGAAAAAGTCTCAGTCCTTTTTCTGTTAGATTTAAGTGCTGCTTTTGACACTATTGATCATGGCATCCTCATTCAGAGACTTGAGGACTGGGTTGGTGTTGCTGGCACCGCCCTAAGCTGGTTTAGGTCCTATTTACAAGACAGAAAGTTTTTTGTGGAGATCGAAAACTGCACCTCAGACCACTTGGCCCTGACCTGCGGAGTGCCACAGGGGTCAATCCTGGGTCCTCTTCTGTTTAATATTTACATGTTGCCTCTAGGTCAGTTGATTCACAGTAATAATGTCTCTTATCACAATTACGCTGACGATACTCAGGTCTATGTGTCCCTGACAGCAGGAGAGCATGAACCAGTGGACTCGCTCCTTCACTGTGTCCAGCAAATCGGTGATTGGATGCAAAATAACTTTCTCCAACTAAACACCGACAAAACTGAAATAATTGTTTTCGGACCCCAGAAACAAAGAGAGAGCGTTATTTGTCACCTCCAGGCTCTCTCTCTACAACCCTCAAATCAGGTCAGAAATCTAGGAGTGATAATGGACTCAGATTAAATTTCAAAAGCCACATAAAATCTGTAACATCAGCAGCTTATTACCACCTAAAAAACATTGCTAAAATTAAAAACATAGTGTCTAAGGCAGACTATACTTATATACTTATATATAAGTACTTATACACGCTTTTGTCTCCAGTCGGTTAGACTATTGCAATGGCTTGTTCACAGGTCTCTCCAAACAGGCTGTAAAACAGCTGCAGTACATTCAACATGCAGCAGCTCGAGTCCTGACCAGAACTAGGAAGTGCGACCACATTAGTCCAGTTCTCAGGTCTCTGCACTGGCTTCCTGTTCCTCAGAGAATAGACTTCAAAGCAGCTTTACTTGTGTACAAGTCTCTCCATGGTCTCGCGCCAAGGTACATCCACGACATGTTTGTGCCATATGAACCGACCCGGACTCTGAGGAGCACAGGGACTGGACTCCTGTTAGTGCCCAGAGTCGGTACTAGACATGGGCAAACTGCATTTCAGATTCATGCGGCTAGAGTCTGGAACCGTCTTCCTGAGAATGTGAGACAGGCGTCTACTCTGGCATCCTTTAAATCTAGGCTCAAAACAATTCTGTTTAGCTGCGCATATACAACTGAATGATTTTATCTTTTCATCTTTGTTTTTATCTTTAATCTTTTTAATGCACTGTGACTATTTATGATTTTAGTCCCATCTGTGATTTTAATGTTTAAAGGTTTTAAATTTTTGTGATTTTATTTTTAATGTTTTTAATATATCTTGTGCTCTTAATGTGTTTGATTTATGCATGATGTGATAGGGGATGTGAAGCGCTTTGCGTTGCCTTGTGTAGGAAAGGCGCTATACAAATAAACGTTGATTGATTGATTGATTGATTGATTGATACAGCACAAGTACATACATGGCTTTTTGTCTGACTGTCCTGTCATATCCATCCACATTCCCATTTCCCTGTCCCTGCTGAAGAACAGGCAGCCCCATAACACGATGCTGTCACACTCTTATTTGACTCTTACACTGCAAGAGAGCCCTGTAAGGTTTGAGACACATAATCATTTGTATTTGAGCCAAAGATTAAATTCTGGACTCTCAAAGGGTAAATCCGCAGCTCCGCCAGAGTAACCATTGGCCTCGTCTCTACATCTGTGAATAATCATACTGCACTAATTATCTAATAGTGTCTGAAATACCAGTTCCTTGTGGTGTGGCGTTCAGTGGTTAGTGCATTTACCGTCTCCATCCACAAACTCCTGCAGGGCCCTGAATGAGCCAGACTGCCTGGGCTCCAGAGGCTCCTCGTGGTCCTGCTGCAGCATACGGTACACGTCGGAGTCTTCGATACTGTTCAAGGTCCGCGGGCTGCAACGCACAGCAACAAGCCAGGTTTTTACATGCAGACATTTCAACAAAACGGCAAAGCTATTTGACACGTTGGGCTGGGAGAACATTGGCTGAGCTTTTGTTTTTGGCTGGATTTTTTTTCACTTTTGTCTGGATTGAAAGTTGTGACAGCTTAAAAAGTCAATATGTTTCAATAATTGCAATACATAATAACTATGGTTATACTGTATTTCCAAAGAACTGATGTCACATACGATTTTGCTTCATTAATTGTGTTGTGTTGTTGTTGACCTTAGTTCTTGATACTGATTTGTAAAACACTGATAGAAGGATGTTTAAAACAACTGCATAATTTATTTTACTATAAAAATGTAATCCTTGGTTCAAATAGCCCTAGTATTTGTTACTGTACAGCATGTACTTTTTTTGTTCAGAAATATAAAACCAAAGTTAAATAAAAGCAATTATTTGGTCTAAATATCTACACAATATAAAGAAAAAGGAGAGAATTAAACCACATTTCATAAAGAAAATGATGAGGTCTTAGAAAATCAGTTATTGTACAACCGTATAACATTTACTAATATATTAGCATTGCTGGTAAATTTTTCAAAATTTTACCAAATCCTTTTCCAGAAGCATTTTGTGTAGAATGTGCGTATTCCAATCAATGTTTTGGATAATTACCCTGAAATTATGACGTAATGGCAAAAACTCTTTTTTGCTTTTGTATTCTGTACCAGTCGCTACATATTAAGTAGGACATTACCCAGAGAGAATCATTATCCTGTTGGTTGCATTGCTGCGATAATATTTGTTGTCTATTCTGCGTTAGCTGAATCTAATGAGGCGGCACTGACAACTTTCATTCAGTTCTTTCATAGACAAGGTCTGAAACGAGTGGTGGAGACTGCAGTGATAGTGCTTTACTTTTTATCTGAAAGGGATAAAAGCAGGTCCATTAGAACAACGTATTCGTAAAAGTAGACGCCTTAAGGCAAACAGATTATGTTAAAACTTGTTAATATGTTGTTGCACCTTTAGAAACAATATGAAGAGAATATATGGGAGAATATAGAATCTATTAGTGTTTTAGATTGTGGTGTTTTTTATTACTACCTGAAGATGGGAGTACAGGGAATATTGCAATTCTGTGTTAGGAAAATCCCTTATTGGATTAAAGGGAGGTGGGTTTGATCCCACCACGACCCATGTCATCTGCTCCCCCCCCCCCGTGGAAAGACCAAGGCCATGTCTTCATTGAAGGAGCAGCCATCTTCCTGTGGACCTCACTCATCACCTGCAGGAGGATCAACGAGGGACTGGTGCATTTTGAATTAGGTGGCAGCTCCATGGTGCAAACCATAAAACTACCACATATCATTCTTTCATAGCGCGTTACATGTATTGCCTAAAATGCATATATTATAGATTATAAATGTGGCTGGTGTGGAATCAGGCCTATTTTAAAGATAAATCCTGGTAGTACAAAAATGCATCTGCAGTTTGTGACAAAAATGGTAAATAATGTTGTTGATAATTGAGCAGTGTTCTAGAACAGCTGACAGTCACAGTTTATAATACAATTTGGTAAAATGACTGAAGTGACTAAATTACAAAATGTCAAAATATATTTTCTCTGTACATAGAAGTTTTGGCCCAGTTTAATCAACTTAGGGATTGTCTAATAAAAAATACATAAACAAAAAGCTTGTCAACCCATCCATCCATTTTCCATTTTCTTCCCCTTAATCTAATTCTGGGTCAGGGGGGGTGACAGTCAGAGCTGCACCCAGTACACAGAGCACCAGCCCCTCACTGATCCTCCTGCAGGTGGTGAGTCTACAGGGGCATTGATCTTTCAGTGGGGGCATCAGGCAAAGTGGGGTTAAGTGTCTTGCCCAAGGACACAACGGCACCAGTCATCAGTGGGGAGTCGTGAATTAGGTCTCGTGGTGCATTCGAACCTACGACCTTCAGGCCCAAAGGCCAATGCTCTACCAACTGAGCTACTGTCGCCCCAAACCTAATCGTTACCTTATCCCAAACCCTTATGACCTTATCCCAAACCCTAACAAATAAACCTAAACCCCAACTTTATCATGTATTTTACCAACAGAAAGTAAAATTTTACAGAATGTGAAATGATATGGACAAACTGAAATAAAATTTGGAAAATCTTTTAAAAATTCTAAAATATAATTTTTTTACTGTACTTTGTGAAAGTCTAAACAGTGGTATGCATTTAACAATGCAGGTCGTTCAAAATGCAGCAGCTCGAGTCCTGACTAGAACCAGGAAGTACGACCACATTAGTCCAGTTCTCAGGTCTCTGCACTGAGTTCCTGTGGCTCAGAGAATAGACTTTAAAACAGCTCTGCTTGTGTACAAGTCTCTCCATGGCCTCGCACCAAAATATATTAGTGACATGTTAGTCCCATATGAACCAGCCCGGACCCTGAGGAGCACAGGGACTGGACTCCTGTTAGTGCCCAGAGTCAGAACTAAACATGGGGAGGCTGCTTTTCAGATTCATGCTGCTAAAATCTGGAACAATCTTCCTGAAGATGTGAGACAGGCCGCCTCTCTGACAATGTTTAAAACCAGGTTAAAAACCGTTCTGTTTAGCTGTGCAGGATTTTATATTTTCATCTTTCTTTTTAATGTACTGTGCACTTTGAGTTGCCTTGTGTATGAATCGTGCTATACAAATAAACTTGCCGTGCCTTATTCCCAATCTAAATAACTAACTAACAATGTCTCGTGTGGGGTTGGGGTTTGGGTTAGAATTACAGTACTCTACTTATTTTACTTCCTAAATCTAAAGTGTTCCCAAACTTTCAAGCACAAGCTCGTGTCTAGGTTAGATACATACTGTACTAGAAAGCTTTTCCCTGCACCACTGCCTGGGCAAGTCCTTACAGCCCTGTAGACAGCTGTCCTTGAACACAATGTTTTCTGTGCTTTCAGAAACACTTGTTTGCCAGAGAAAAACATAACTGCAAACATAACTGTTTTAAGTTACTCAATGTCATAGATCACTATATATAATGAACCAGACTTGGAGCATGTTAATGTGAACCAGACCAAACCAAGTGTGACAGTGCGATACAAACTCTTGGCCTCTGGAGAATATACCTGACTTGTCTGGGGTGCACAAGGCCCCGGATCTGCCCCTCCATGGCGTCCTGGATGTTGCCTGATGAGTAGAGGCCAATGGGTGTGTTGTAAGACGCGCTGGCCACCTGATGCGTGTCGTCGAGGTTAGCGGCGGCGATGAAGGGCTGGGCTTTGCGGTTGTGAGCTGTTCCAATGGGCTTAAACACCTGCACATAAGAACCACAATATGTTCCTACATTTAGAACTACAGTACTTTGAAATCCACATGTGTCTCAGCAAGACGAGTCACGCTTCGAAACTACTTTGAAAAACATTTTCAAATTTGATTGTGTGTGTGTGTGTGTGTGGGTGCAGGTGTGTGTTTGTACAACTCAGTTATTCTGTCTGCTCTTGATGTTGGAATTGTTAAAAACTCCGTTGGATTTAACAAACTTTTGAATGGTGAGAGTGCTAGAGGTAAAATTATTAATGGGTTTTAATATGTGGCTCTCACTTTTTCCAAAGATTGGCAATCATGATGACAAATATCCCTACTTTTCATCATTAAAAACCCCATGGATGGTCTCACTGATAAACATGAGGACGTAGATAGGAATATTATGCAATGCTTTTAATCAAAGTAATAAAGTGTCAGCTCAAACAGTCACACAGACTGTTATTCAAATAAAATATCTCTCAACTGTGGAATAGAATTTGTATAATCTATACTTGAAACTTGACTCAAGGTCACACTTCCATGGCCATCCTCTCAAACTCTTACAAAAGACATTACGTATTTCGATGCGCAACAAAAAGACGCACAAAACTAATCTTATAGAGTAAGTGTCACAGCAAGACACTGAGTCCGATTTCCCCCACCACTAAAAACATGTACAAAAGTCCAGATTGTGAACGGATGGTGTTGGACTATTGTATACTATTTTATACCTGAACTCTATGGGTGACCTTGGTCTGTAAAATGCATTACATAAATAAACATTACTGAGTTTATTGACAGAGCGCTTCTCACTGACCAGAGTAACAAAGGGCTTCAGAGCGACAGGAGCGAGTGCCTCATCCTCTGGTTTAAAGACAAACTCAGGGGACCATCCAGAGGTTCTAAATATAAAGCTCCATTTCAGACACAAGGACCAGGCCCTAAGTGTATTTGGGTGCTCGATAATGAAGTCCAGGCAGTGAAGCGTTTTTGGAGATGTAAATTATTATATCATGTCCACATCTACAGTGCCTTGCGAAAGTATTCGGCCCCCTTGAACCTTTCAACATTTCGCCACATTTCAGGCTTCAAACATAAAGATATAAAATTTTAATTTTTTGTCATGAATCAACAACAAGTGGGACACAACCATGAAGTGGAACAAAATTTATTGGATAATTTTAACTTTTTTAACAAATAAAAAACTGAAAAGTGGGGCGTGCAATATTATTCGGCCCCTTTACTTTCAGTGCAGCAAACTCACTCCAGAAGTTCAGTGAGGATCTTTGAATGATCCAATGTTGTCCTAAATGACTGATGATGATAAATAGAATGCACCTGTGTGTAATCAAGTCTCCGTATAAATGCACCTGCTCTTTGATAGTCTCAGGGTTCTGTTTAAAGCGCAGAGAGAACCATGAAAACAAAGGAACACACCAGGCAGGTCCGAGATACTGTTGTGGAGAAGTTTAAAGCCGGATTTGGATACAAAAAGATTTCCCAAGCTTTAAACATCTCAAGGAGCACTGTGCAAGCAATTATATTGAAATGTAAGGAGTATCAGACCACTGCAAATCTACCAAGACCCGGCCGTCCCTCCAAACTTTCATCTCAAACAAGGAGAAGACTGATCAGAGATGCAGCCAAGAGGCCCATGATCACTCTGGATGAACTGCAGATAACTACAGCTGAGGTGGGAGAGTCTGTCCGTAGGACAACAATCAGTTGTGCACTGCACAAATCTGGCCTTTATGGAAGAGTGGCAAGAAGAAAGCCATTTCTCAAAGATATCCATAAAAAGTCTTGTTTAAAGTTTGCTACAAGCCACCTGGGAGACACATCAAACATGTGGAAGAAGGTGCTCTGGTCAGATGAAACCAAAATCGAACAAGCTGAAGACTGCTGTTCACAAACGCTCTCCATCCAACCTCACTGAGCTCGAGCTGTTTTGCAAGGAAGAATGGGAAAGAATTCCAGTCTCTCGATGTGCAAAACTGATAGAGACATACCCCAAGCGACTTGCAGCTGTAATTGCAGCAAAAGGTGGCGCTACAAAGTAATAGCGAAAAGGGGCCGAATAATATTGCACGCCCCACTTTTCAGTTTTTTATTTGTTAAAAAAGTTAAAATTATCCAATACATTTCGTTCCACTTCACGATTGTGTCCCACTCGTTGTTGATTCTTGACAAAAAATTAAATGTTTATATCTTTATGTTTGAAGCCTAAAATGTGGCAAAATGTTGAAAGGTTCAAGGGGGCCGAATACTTTCGCAAAGTACTGTATATCTATACCTGTTCAGAACAATATACTAAAAGTCCAAAGAAATTCTGGTTTTGACAAATTTGAATTTCGGCTTGAATTTCATCATGATTTATGTGTGCAAATACAAACTGAATAAACACACATTCCAATCAGAATTACACTGAACACACTGGTATATATACATAAGTATACATACAAAAATATGTGTATTAATATTACGAGTTTCTTAGAAAATCTGTTTGAATATGCAAATGTGCTAATCAGTGCCAAAATTGTGTTGATCTCATTTGCAAACAAAAATAAAAATACAGAATAATACAAAAACAGGTTACTTTTCATTTCTACTTTCATATTGCCCTTTGACAGTGAGTCAGAGAGTTAAAAAGGCCTAGATTACAACCGTCCAATTGGAAGGTTACAAGTTTGCTTCAAGGTTCTTCGGAACCTCCAGTTGGAGTTCAACTGGAGGCTATTGTAAGACATGTCTTTATTTTGTCCAGACATGGAGTTTGCTCTACACGTTGTGAATTGACACAAAGTTACACTGTTTGCTTTACTTTCCTTGTCACATCAAGGGGGCAAACTTCAGATAGTTTATTGTTTTTTTTGATCAAGTATTTATTGTGTTGCGCTGCACACAGAAATGACAATAGTTATGAGGCAGAAAATAAACACACACACACACAAACACACACACACCTTTCTAACCCCCACCCCCATTGTCCCATTGTTCAGGTATTGATTACATTTCCTTACTTACTTACTTAGTTAATTTATACGATTATATTCGTTTTTTGTTAAAATTATATTATTTTATTATATATGTAAATACTGTAAATATTCTTCTAATGTTTGTTTGTACTTGTTCTTGTTCCAGACCACACGCTGACCACACACACTAACTCACCCCACCCATAATCCACCCATACAGGGTCCATTCCCACCTGTAACTGCCTCCATATCCACAATAAAGTCCCCCATCTGGATGTACCAGGCTTCTCTGTGCCCTTCTCTCTGACCGGAGCCCCGTTTTTACAGTTCAGGCGCTCAGATCAGCACACACCATACTTATACATATAATTGTTAGACACATAATATGGGAAACTTCCTCCGTCATTGACATTCACAGAAGCCGCAGTATATACGTAGTCTTGTGTGCAAACAATACAAACATTTAATAAAAAATACAGCCCAGAAAATGTAAATAAATACAGTAAAAGATAGATATTGATTTCACACAGATCTATGTATAATACACTGGTGGATGTGCTATACAAGTTTGCTTAATACATTAGAAGCCATCTTCAGATAGGTGATGAAACAGCCCTTGAAGATTATCTAAAACAAGCATTTACATGTCCAAATATATTCCCTTTTCTACACCAGTGCACTTGACTGCCTGTTATGGTCCACCCCTGGCGTGACTGAGCCATCTGTTCCCCAATCTTTGTGCCTAGGTTTGTATGCATAATCCCTTTATAGTGAACTTGGCCACTCAGTTATTCTGGCATGATGCATAATTGCTGCATAACTTTCATCCAGCAACTGCTACTACCCAAGCCACTGCAGTCTGGCTTCTCACTGGTGCTAAATGGCTGGTCGTAAGTCAGGTTGTATTATCTCTATGCACCAGTGACGTTGCCATACCTGCTGCTCTGCTTCCAAGTTCATTTTGTATGGATGTGCCCTCCCGTCTTCTACCACTCGTGGAGACCAGAGCCTGGACTCATTCCTGAAATGGAAGGGTCACATCAAGCATATCAGAGGGCGTATTTATTCATTACTTATTAATTTGTACACAATAATTAAAGAAGGAAACATGTTATTCCACATTAGTACTCATCAAAAAACAGATCTGGAGTTGTTTTTAGCTCCATTCAGGCTAATATTAGGCACACACATGTAATTCCGCCCCTTCTGTCTAAAAGGTCCTGTCTCGGTAATTGAATTGTATGATGTCATTGTACCACTATGACATCACAGCCGATTTTTTACCTTTTATAAAAAAAATATTTCCAATAAATTAGCTTTGTCAACCACTGTGGTGAAACAAATTTGTCCTTGTGCTATGGGAGCCAGCTGAGTACCGAGAAAGCAAGTTGATGGATGGATGGAACCTCTCTGGTTGATAGATGTTCTTTACAATCACATGATAAAGTTTATAACGGTGAATTAATAATTGTGGTGCTAATTTCAAAACTTGGAGAGAAAAACAAAAACAAATTGAACCTCTCCCTCTAATGGTAGCATGAAAGATAGAAGCTTGTTTCATCCTAGATTAACTAAATTAAGATTTTCATTTATATTCTAAAACATGAAATGACAACGTGATAATGCTACATTATCATTTTTAATTTACCAAAAACAATGCATGATGTTCCTCTTTAAACTGCACACATCTTTTTTTGTTCATAACTACAGAAATGTAAAGGCCAAAGCAATTCTCCTCATCAAGGCATCCAAAGCTTCTCCTGATTCAGGGGATGGTCGCTGACATCGGGAACGTCGCACACATGGGGAGATAATGGACAATTACAAAAGGTTAAGGTCAGCTTATTGTATTGAAAAGTTCAGCTCAATTTGTATTCATAAGTTGCAACCTCAAAGTACTCTGGTCTGAAAAGAGAAAGAATTTTCTCACTGCCTTCTGAGTGTGTT